GGAGTCGGCAATTCGGTGGTTCGAGCTCCGTATTCGCCGCGCCGCTGAAATCGAGCTTGCCTCCTTCATGGATGGCGCACATTACTCGTGAACTCAGAAATATTTGTCAAGCAGCTGACCTTTGTTGATTCTATTTTTATCTCAGGTCAGCCGACCGTGTTGATCGTGTCATCCCCTCTTGTTTGGGATTGATTTACGCCATTTCAGAATTTCGAAACTCGTGACTGTGCTTGCGAATATTCGGAATCTGAATTGCCATTTTGCGACATTTCATAAAGTTTCTAGTTCCCTCGGGGTACCGCGGAGCACTGCTCATGTGACAAGGTTGATTCCTTCCGGTGGTCGTCGTGCTCCACGTTGTCGGACGTCAGCAGCAGATCAGTGAATTCATCACCTTCCATTGACAAAAAATGAACTTGTTTCCCGATGTGAGCGACCCTAGCTTGCGGCCACCAAAGACGAGCTTCCCATTGAAAGTTGGCGTCGAAGGTTTCAACCCAGTCAATGAGCTCCGATCTCAACAGCGATGGAGCCTACCAGTGTCAGGGACTTTTTTGACCCTTTCATCGAGAAGTCTGGCCCGGGCAGATGGTCAGGAATTTCGTCGTGGGCAAATTCAATTTCTTTCTTCTTCCCTCTAGAGCAGCGGGGAGAAAGAGCCGCCGGGGTACTTCTCGAGCCTCTATGGCTCTTGTTCATGGACAGGCTAGTGAGCAGGCGGGCAGACAGACACGCGCGCGGAGAGGTTGTGTAAGAAATGGGCTTAACCCAGTGGTGGGCTTCTGCTCAATCTCGTTCTGACATCAATTCAGCGAGAGAGACGTATTTTGCAATAATTCCCTCGACAAGAGATTTCAATCGGCAGACCAGACGACAATAATTGAGGCGCACTCACCAAACGAGCGCGAATGGTCTGATCCGGGATCATCACTCGAAGGCCAGGACTTTCTTATGATTCCCGAAGCTGAGCCAGTGACCGGAGCTCCCGCGTGAGAAAGATCGGTTTGGGAACTCGCGCCCACCGATTTGAATTTTTCGTCAGATGATGTATGATCTCAGCGACGGCGTCCCCTGCGGTGTTCTCAGGCATTCACTCGTCAAAGTCAGCCAACCAGTCGTTCGGTCAGTCACAGTGCGTGCACAAATCTTTCTGAGAGGGTGGGAGCCGGTGAATCCTTTGGAATATCATGTCTTCAGCCGATTGTTTCCAGTTCGATGCCCTCCGAAATCGCAAACTCCTCCGTCTTTTTCTGCGACTCTCTAGCCCATCCCCAATATTATTCCTTTTTTCGGGACGCTGGAGGTAAATGAATTGTGATGCTGCCCTCTATGGAAATTTCGTGCACGGACGTTTTCTGGGTGTTCGCCATAGTTGACGCAAAACGAGTTTACACTTCGCAGCCACACCCGCGCGAGGCATATTCTGATAAGAGCCGGTGTGTACCGTCAACGAGTGAAGAAACATGAACGGTGGATTCATGAGCTTCACTTTTATGGCCTCGCATCCTAGACAGAGCAAATGCTAAGGACGATATATTCTGGCCTGTTTCTGGGAGTTTTGTTATTTGACGACGACAATCCTCAATTTTTCGGTGAGCGATGACTCCGAGCTGTCAGATAATGATGACAATATTAATTGCACCTGTGGCTGCCGGCGATAGCTCGTCATGATCGGCGCCAAGTCTGTGGGGTCCTTTGTCGATCGAAGTATTTCAGAAATTTATCAATTCACCCGAGTCTCACGCTAAGAAGCTAGGATCGAGGACGAGCGTGTTGCCTCAAAAAACGATCAAGCACCGGTTCACGAAGGCGCGCGCACCGTACGCCCCTCTTTCTGTTTTCCTTTCCTTCCGATGAGTGCCGTCACCGCCGTTGCTAGACTACGTCGGCTCTCCCACGCGATTGCCCGCTGCGGTTAATTCCACTCTTCCCGACTGACGTCGGCCCCTTTCCATGGTCTTAAAGTCAATGCCGCGCGGTGGACTACCCAATTGAACCGTTAGCTGATCGTCAACGGATACCCTTGCGAGAGTGAATGCGTAAACGACTTCGTGCGAGTGAATGGGAATGTCCGGGTGGTTCTAGTGCTCTCGGATGAACCAAGTGCACCTAGTGCGAATAACTCTGCTCTCTGGAGGTGAGCCGCCGGGAAAGTCATTGGAGTTAACTCTGAGGTAAATTCCGAAGTTGGTTCTCGGTTATTTTGTCAGAAGATAGAGGAGATGGAACATCATCAGGGTCGTGAGAAAATGATTCATTAGTGAGCATGAGTATCTCGAGACCATCGCTCCATTTAAAGGACGGTCGGATCGGGGATTTAGTGGAAACGATAATTTCTGGAAATTCGCCGATCTACTGACGATTCCATTATCGTCGGCAGCCGGAGGGACTTCATGCATTTATATGCTCGGCGATGGATAAAATCGATCGCTCCGCTCTCGGATCATCATAGGCAAGTTACTCCGCGGGGTTAGTCGAGCCCGTCCCCCGTAATGACCAATCGACTAATGAGACAAGAGGCTGCCTTTTCCATTTTCTGTCGAGCCAATAATTGATTATCCGTGATAAAAAACAATAGCTGAAACCTATCGGAAGCGACCGCCCTTAATTTTTCCCCGCGCCGTCGAAAACGATGCGAGAGACTTGTTTTTGTCCCGATCTGTCCCTGAAACTTCCCGGCTAGCTTGCGCGTTTTCTAGCTTGATTCTCTGCTTCCTGTACGGTACCCCACCCGCGAATTCTCGCCGTCTTCTCCGCCGCAGACAAGGCAGACTGAGTTGCTGGCAGCGGGCATTGTTATCTGTATGCCGAAGGTTCTGGGCAGGGCATCGGCACGAAGGTCCCATAGTGGTCCACAGCGATAAATTCAAACTCATTACTTACAAAATAAGTTCACCGTTGTCAGAGAGAATACCAGAATTTATCTCGCGCACGCGCGCTGAGCAAATCTGCGTCAACCATCCGACCGATCGACAGAAGCAGCGGCGATAGATTGGAGACGTCATTATGAAGTGATCCATTTTTTCTTTCATAATTCTCTTCTTCTCTTCCCAATAATTGCAGTCGTCAAAAGAGGTTGGATCACGCTCGTGCTTGTCACGAAATGGCTATTTCAATTTTTTTATCCCGACTGGCATTTCTCTTCTTTTCGCTCGACATTCTCTCGTTTTTCATTGACTCGGTATCGATCGTTCTCGATATGGATTTCGCATGGTTTTCTGATAATGCTGATGAATCGCAGTCAATTACGAGACTGCCCTCGTCTGGGCCCGCCGACTGCCTAGGACAGAACGACTCGGGAAAGCTAACCGCACATTTCGACGAATGAGCGCAAGTTTCTCGGTTGGAGAAAGATGCGAAGACCCTTTCTCTTCGTGATTAGTTCCGAATTAGCCGAGAATTATCAACGATGATTCTTTGCATATTTCATTCGGAAATCTCTGCAGGCTCGGGAGAGAACGTTTTCGACGCGAAATTTCGACGACTCACGAGCGTCGACGAGAAGGGGGTCGGTCTTCCTCGAGCGCTGCATTTGGGAGGTGAAATGAGCATCATGCAATCGAACCTATTATGGAAGTCAAGTCAACGACGGGGAGGCAAATATGTGCAGCTGACTCATTGATCAATACGAAAAAAAGGAAAAGTGAATGAATACAGAGGGCCGGAACTCATTCGGTGCATCTGATGGCTTCGCTTCTTGTCATGGACGGTTTCTGAAAACCGAAATGGCCGCATTTTGAGCAGCGAGGCCAATCCGTCTTCTTTTTTTCGGCGGCTTGATCAAGTCGATCAGACGCAACCAGCAAAAAGAAATCAGAACAGAAAAGTCCGACGAACAAATCAAAGAGTTCGAAATCCTATTGTCTGATATGAGCGAGCTGAGCGAAGGACTCCCTCATTTGAAAATGTCACCTATTCTGCGCGGCTATAAAATGTGTCAGGACCTTTCGTTCGGTATCAAGCTCGATCGGCATACTGTCCTTTGACCGAAACTGGCTCCGGATTCGACTATCCAACGGGTACGACCAAAGAAGTCTGCGCTCCATCTCTATCGATCTCCATCATCGGGGGACGGCCGACCAAAGCCGATGTAATTCCAGAGGCTCGTGGTTGCGGCTGGAGCTCGAGTGCGGCGGTCGACCGAGTTGTCATCCTGCAGAGCGAAATGCATGACATCTCTGCATTTCACGTCCATCCTCACTTTAATCTGAAGTGATCTCCCACGCGATGTTTCAGTGGATGTGACGCCCACAAATGACTGGCCACTGACCACCGCAAGTTTGTTGCTCCAGTGGAACATTCTTTGCGCCGCAATGCTCCCAGAACTCGCTCGGAATAGTGCAAGTTCCGTACATGGATACCGGAGCGAATTCGTGTTACGATGCAGTTTCCGAGCAATAAGGATCCACCCATAGTTCTGAGAGACAGTTCTCAGGGATCTCGGGTGCCTATAATGACGTGTGCGACATCTGTCTCTCTGATATCTTCGACAATATGATCCATCGCAAGAGCGATTGATTCTTATCGGGTCGCAGTCTTGACTGGAAGCGAACCATTCAGCCAGAGCAGGGCTGCCTTACGATGCACATCGGCTTTCCGAAACTGCAGCGGCTGAGAGACCTCACCCGAAAAGACCACTCGCCCCTCTGATCACCCCTGAGGCTGTGCTTCCGATCTATCGCAAGCGCGACTGAATCAGGTGCCAGATGAGTGAATAAAGGTGCTCTTGAACATATTCGCGAGTGACTCGGTAAATTTGTTGTGAAACTCTTGAATCTTGTAGGTAATCATAATGTGCATGGAAGGAAATCAAATCGAGCGGGCATATCACTCCTTCTCATCGCAATCGATTCGCCGGTCTGATTTTGAGACTCCGAAAGACAGTTTCTCTGGAATCTCTGGTCACGTGGCACCGGTGCGACGGGTCTCCCCAGCTGAGCTCCAGATTCTTAGTCAAGTTCCTCTTGTCTTTTCAGATAATTCCGATTTCCAGCGGCCAGATGTTGTGGCTACCGTGTTTGGTTGTCCTCATAGCGACGGCCCATGCTCAAGCCAATTGCCCCTGGTCGCGGGACCTCACCGACTTGGACACGGATTGCGTTTGTTCCTACAACACCCACCAGAAACTATCCATACAATGCTCCCCGGTGAACTTCACGCGGCTTCTGAAGGCGCTAAACTCCGCTCAAAACGTCCCCATCGACTTGTTGTTCATAGACAACACGACCGTGTCTCAACTCCCGGATGGGATCTTCAGCCGACTCAACATCCAATCTCTTCAATTCTCACGAGCGAAGGTCAGGAATATTTCGGACAAGGCATTCATCGGTCTTGAACGAAGCCTAACAACCTTGAATTTGGCCAACAACGAACTCACCGAGATCCCGATCAGAGCCATCCAGAGATTGACATCCCTCAAGAATCTCGATTTGTCCACGAACAAAATAGCTGAGGTTCCTGCTGATGCTTTTGTGAATCTTCCACTGAGCACCCTGAGACTAGCTGACAACCAGGTCAGCATCGCTCCGGACGCTTTCAATGGACTGGAAGGCACTCTCAAGAACCTCAATCTGAAGAACACCGGACAAGATGTGATTCCTAAGGCTGTCACACGTCTCTTGACGCTGACTTTCCTGGATCTCGCTCAGAACAAAATCGGTCAAATCGAACCTGGTCAGCTCGCCACCATGAACACGTTGACGGCATTGAATCTCGAGCGTAACCGCATTTTGAGAATCGATGCCGACTCATTCCGTGGAATAAACGACACGTTGTCTTCGCTCTCTCTCCTGAACAATCTCCTGGTGGAGTTCCCTGCGGAGGCCATGCGGACGCTCACGGAACTTCGGGTGAGTAGCCAACGTTAGTCCTTTGGTTTTCATGCGTTGTTATCCAGACTTACATATATAATTGGTAATTCGGAATCTTTTGAGAGACAGAGTTGAATCTCCCCCTCCTTCCCCCCCGTTGATTTACCCGCTCGTCGCGAAAGATGTTATCGTCGACGTTGACTACTGATTTCGAAACACTGGCTTTTCTCCCGAAGATCGCGAGCTAGTGCTGGTGACAATGTCCACACGGCACCACCTTGGACTGCATATTTCAAAAGATGGAAACCATACCGAACCATTAGCGGTTGGTGTGCGAGTTGGCTGCTCGAGTTTTGCAATCATCTCTAGCTTCTGTGGGATATTGGGTGTCAATATTGGCGGCCACTTGTGGGAACGAGCGAGTATCTGCGGAGCCGGAGCCAGGGCCGCAAGAGTAATCAAGAACAACAATGTTCAATTGCGAGCATCTCTCAGTCGACCTTCGACGCCGAACCTGAGGCCGCAAAGATGGCAGCGGAGAAATCGAAAGCGTGCTAGGCTCGATGGCGATCCACGAGGTATCTGAGCGAGTTTCACGTCACTCAATTGGATGCAAAACACTCATTAATGTCACCGGAGGTACACAGAATAATGAGTAGACTAAGATTAATGAGCGTCGAATTTCAACTAATGATGGACGCCAGCCGACCGGTTTTTTTCGGCTCTTTGTGGAAATTAAGTCGAGGCCGGCTCCGCGACTGCCTCCGATTTCTTCTGCCCGAAATGTTCCATGAAATATGAGTTTTTGCCGGGGTTTCCGGTGACACGCTCCTCTCGATAATGGCACGAGTGCTCGTGGATCACGGATTCGCTCTCGGGAGTGCTTGTGGAACGAGAGCGAGGAAACACAAAAGTTCTCTGACAAATTAGTCACCCCTTGACCCTTTTCATTGCTCTTTGGGATTTTTGCGTGGGCCGAACACGAAGTCGCTGTCCTAGTCTATTGTGGTTACTCCCGGCATCTTGTCTTTTCCGTTTTGGATTGGACTTTCGGAGAAATCGAAAGCAAGAGTATTGAGAAGAAAAGATCGAAGGCACCGAGCAGATGAATGCGAGCCGAATCGGGGTGCGTTCAGCTCGCATAGTTGACGCTCTGCATTTTAGAAACTCGCACTGATGCCTAATCAGAATTCCGATGTTGAGCGTGTTTTTCTGAGTCCCTCTGGTTTCCTTCCGGGAGGCGGGTCTAATTTAAGCATTCAAGCTGATGAGAATCAAGCAGAAAACACAATCTGCTCCATTTTTGTCGACTAGGAAAAAGCACAAGATTCCGAATCGGCGCTAGCTTTGTTGCGTTTCTGCGCGGTGTTGGTTCCGTGAGTTTCCGAACGATCGTCGAGTTTGCACCAAGTCGAGCTGGCGAGCCGATGGATCACGAGACTCACTAAGTTGAAGAGCCTGCCGAAACGGAATGGGACGCAAAGCGCTTGGGAAGAATCGCTCATTCGTTCCACGGGAAATGTTGTTTGTCGTCATTAAGATGCGTGGGATTCGCGCGCGGGAAAACTCAGCCAGCGCGTCCCCAGCAGCATTCCTTTTTCATGTTCCATTGCTTTCCAAGAGTATCGCACAGCGTCATGGACTGATCTCAGCAGTTTCGATTGAAGACCACCCGTCTCAATTATCAGCGCAGTCTGGCGGAAGAAAGTCCTTCCGTGAATCGGAATCGAAATCGAAACCATTCGTTCTATCAGAATGCGTGACGCTCTCTTTATGTCCCATCTAACAATCCGCCGAGAGCTCGAAGAGTAGTCGCTCTCGGGTCATCATGATGCTGAAGAGCGCATCAGCTCGAGGGTCGGAGCAGGTATGGGTCGCTCAGAGCTCCGTTCGCTCCGCGAGGGGTCCATTAATTGAGCTGGAGGACGACAACGGAAGGGGAGCGACATTCCTTTCTAGTCAAGGATCAGATACCTATTATGTGAAACTCCGCGTGGGGGCAGCTCCTTCTACCGGGATCGAAACTTAGTTCCGGGGCATCGCGTGCTACTACCTCCACGATAGCCCTCGCTCCGAGCGAGCCATAGCTCTCGTCCAGATGCTCGGGAAGCCACAATTGTTGAACAATTTTTCGAGCTGGTCGCTGAATTACGGTGATCGCCATCGGTTAGCTTATCGGGGGATATTCCCATGACGTGGCTTGGGGGAGGCTCATTGTGTGCGCCTGCGCGTCTGTGACTCTGTCTGACTTTGGCGTGCGTTTGTTTCTGTTCAAACAAAGGGAAGATGGAAACGGAAGCTTCGCTTGTGGGCGGCGCTGTCTTAGTGAATTGTGGAAGCGAGAGACAATTGCTTTTTTTTCCCGTCAAAGGGACGACTTTCCGAGAGATGGAACTGATTTGTGTGGTTGGGCTAACCCACCGGCTGTGGGTCCCCTGATTGACTCACTGTCTGTTCATCCGTCTGACCGTCCGATTGTCAGTCCCCCCACCTGGTTGTTTGAGTGTCCGGCGGAGGAATGTTCGCTCTTCCAAAAGACGACCCGCGAATGGAATCTCCATCTTATGACTTGCACAATCCGGGCTAGATCCGACGATACAGCTCTGGATTCGGTAACGAGGCAAACGGGCAGGCTCACCGTCGCAAGCGCTCGCCGCATGTCGATCATGTGTATGGGTACCACACCTTTGGTGACCGTGGCGGTGGTGACCGAGCTTTCCCCGGCCGATGCCGCTTCAGGTGGATTTGCCAATTTTCGACAGGTAGCAATATCCCATCTCCGTTGTATCCGGCCGAGCTCGCTGTGTGATGTAACATCTATTCATAAACCAATTTATCTGACCAGCCCGATGGGGTGTCTGATCCCCGCTGGGTGCCTGAATATCCACACCCTTCAGCGTTCATCGATGAGCTTCTGTGCTTCATGCTTCGGGATCTGCTCCTTTTCCCAGTCGTAGATGTTTAATTTCTCACCACAGAGGCTTGGTAGCGGGAGCCGAATAAAAACTTGGCTTTGACGAATGAAGGACAGAGCGTGTCTGTCCGACAACGGTCCGCAGCGGCTGGACAGCCTGCCTAGGGGATCAACGCTAACGTCAATTCAGCAGACGCGAGGACTTTGTCTTTGATTTTTTTCTAGAATTGAAGTTCCGTCGTGGTCGAAGTTCTCGATTTGCGCGTCAGTGATTTCCATAGTGTGTTGACATACGAAGGCTGGGCGAATACTAAGAAGCACATACCACACTCGGTCGGATGAAATCGTACGGAATAGCGTCCTTGATTCGAGTCGCTCTGGATGCTGCTTCAGACTCAATAACATGGATGGAATTCCCCCTCCCAGGTTTTGGATCTTGGTTTCAACGGAATCCGTTACATTCCCGAAAAGGCTTTCTCGACGAATCCGTTGCTGACGCTTCTTGCTCTGGACGGCAACCCAATGTCATCGATCCCGATCGAACCATTCCAGCATCTGAAGTCCACTCTGCGAGGCTTGAGTATAGGCGGTAAGTTCGTTTGTCTCAAGTTCCTTTTAGTCCATTACTTGAAATCCATTCTTCCGAGCAACTCTGATGTGCATAGCTAGACGTGTACCTACTCCGCTCAATACGGCGCCCCCTCGCTTTGCATCCAGCGCGAATTTTTCACCCACAGGAGGAAAAGTGTCTTTATTTCACGCTGGAGTCGAGTCGGCCGCCCCCGCAGAATGCATTGTGTTCTGTCAGAAGGAGCTTTTGCTGTTGCCCTTATTGTGGCCCTTTGTTCCGAGCTTTTTCACCGTTCCGAGATACCTCGGATTAAGTTAGGTATTCAATGCCGCGGAAGCAGACGAGGAGTGGTCGCTGGCTGACGAGCACCGTCAGTCTATCTGCGGCGAGTAGTCCGTCGGCGCCTCTTCTTCTTTCTAGTGGCTGAGAGAGTGGATCTCACTGATGTGATCAAATAATGGAATTAGCCATTCTTGTTCTGTGCCAGCCGAGCAGCACTGACAACAGAGGCAACATGGCGTGGACCTCTTCAAAATGTTGCACGCTTGGGAACTAGTCTACATCATGAATCGGCTCGTGTTCCAGCGGGGCTTCTTCTCTTCGGCGGAGGGTTTCGTCTTTACGGCTCTCGCTCGGCAGAGTATCGAGAAAAAAGTATTTCTTCTGGGAGCGCAAGCTTGTTTCTGACCGAGGGGATAACGGTGAAGAGAGAAAGAAACATTCCCCGATTCTCGTGAGTGATTGATACAACGATTATCTAGGCGTGTCAGATGGGTTCTGCGCGAAGTATGAAAATCGTGTGTCGACACTTCTGGAAAGCCTTTCGACCGCACTGTTGGGGGAAACGAGCGGCGCCGAGCGAGCGGATGCATGGAGCGGCACGACTTGTGGACGACCCAACAGACTGGCTGTATGGATCGTGTCCGGCGTCGCCTGAATGCTTCTGGGGTCAGCACGTCGGAATAGATCGCTTTCTCTTTCGGTTGACCCGACGACATTCTCGAGATAGCAAACTAAACAGCGAGCTTAACACTAGGGCTAGACAAGCGAGCGTCGGAGAAACCTGAAGGAAGCCGCCAAGTGACCGCGAGGGTTCACGATACAGGAAGACATCTCGAATGTCTCGGATGATTATCCTCAAACTGTTTGACGAGGGATCATGCAGACGAGCCGAGATCGAAGAGAAGCGGGTCAGCTCGAACGGAACGCTAGCATGTACCGAAACCGCCTCGCAGCAGCGCGGCCTTGTCGCCCACTTGATCGCATTACGTTGGGCTGGGGTTCAAGACCACTGTTCAATGTTCCCTTCGACCATCCGCCGTCGGCATTGCCTGTCATTGCATGTACTGAGCGACCGGGCGGTGAAACGAGCGCGAACACATGAGCGGGCGGATGAACAGTCAGACGAGCTGAAAAATGGGTGGCTGGGATACGGACCAATATCGTGGTCGGAACGGGCTGCGATGCAACGGATTCTCGCCCAGCTCTCAAGCGTACTGCTGAGCTTGTTGTTCCTTATCTTCAAGCCAGGCATATCTGATTCGCCCGATTCACTGGCCAGTCGTACGGTGAAACAAATGACCGAGCAGATGCGCGAGCACTTGACTGGGGAGATTGATAACGGCCGTCGGTACGAACTCCCCCACATCGACAGAAAGCGCTGGCATCTCCTTTGACCACTCCTGCGGGTCAGAAGGTCACGCGGAAGTATCCGCTTCTGCCGCCGCAATCAAGTAGGGCTCCGTAAAAATGACTCAACGAGGAAAACTAATTAACGGTTCATCAAGTGTTCCTGCTCTCGTGAACCGCCCCCGACGGAAGGGTTGTTGTCGGCTGAGACCCACTACAATATGGTCTGTTATAAACCCTTGGATCAATCCCTCGCCTGTACGATCGGAACGTCGGCGTCGCGCGGTGAGACGGTCGGAAGGTCTAACCGTGGACCCTAAGGGCAATCGGTCGCTCTCCCTCATAATGGGGCTACGGAGCTTGATCGCAACGATTGGATTTGAGCACATTCCGCGGATATGCGTGATTATTGACATTCAGTATGGACTGCGCATTACCAAAATACATCTTGAGATGAGATCGTGACCGTTTGAATTAGCTGTTGATGATGTGTCAGTGAATCAGCCGGATGCGATGTGGCGTCCATTCCACGCACAAACTTCGGCTACTTGTCGGGCTGTGTTTCTGCGACTGAGGAAAGTTCCCCGTTCTTAGAGCCCCTTTTTCCCAGCTCACATCGGCGGAAGACGTGTTCCGACTGACATTAGCCTACTTAGAATACAAATGTCACGTCGCGTCGGCTTCTTTTGAACATGTCATCCTACGTTTTCGCTCTTGGTGGCAGATTGATCCGATCGTCGAGAACGATTGCAATCAACCCCTCTGATTTCAAGAAGAAGGAGACACCCATCAGAAAGTCACCCGTGACGGGACCCGGAGATTCGAATTGATGCCAAGCCTACTTGAATTAGACAAGAGGAAAGACGCATGCGAGCAACACCCTTGCAAACTACTTCCTGTGAGAAAGAATGAATGTGTGCATTTGTGCGCTTGCCCAGTCGCTGCCGGACAGAAAAATGCACCGGCAGGCGACGAGTTACTACACAACAGACTGACCTCTGAATAACCCCTGGAACCTACCAACAATGAGCCATTCTCGGAAGATCATGTTTTTAGAAATCTATGGCGCCAACAACATGAAACCATCATCGTCGTTATGATCCGACGTCCACACACGACGTTGGATTGATGAAGCGGCAACAGTGTCTGAGCGCCGCCTATTGGAATTCGCTCGTTCACGTCAAACGACTCGATTTGAATCACTTTCCGGAGCGGGGTTCCTCAAGTGGGCTGACCTCTGGCAAAGTTCCTGGGCACTGTCGTTCAGTGAGTCTTGCGGCGGCGGTGGCGGCATCGTCATCAGCTGAGCGATTATTACGCATCCGCTGCACCGCGAAAGCCGAACCCTCAGAACGTAGGAAGTCTCGGGCTGAGACAGCGCTCATCCGCTAAATGCGGGGGGAATCCCATGGAAATGGGGAGGAATGCTTTCATGAACGTTCGAAGCCCACCCTCAGCCGAAGCTTCGCGGGATCTCTAAAACTTATCTTTCCTCATTTTTCAGGACCGTACCTCGAATGCGATTGTCGGATTCGCTGGATCGCCGAATGGATTCGCTCCACCGACCTGCAGGTCACGAGCAGGGAAAGGACTCCCCAGTACTGCGGGAAACCGGAGCACCTGAAGAGGAAACAGTTCGGTCAGATCGAGCTCTCTGATTTCGTATGCGACGGTCCCGTGTCGACAACCACCGTTGTATCGCCACAATCGACGTCTGCGACATCGACCTCTACGACGACGACTACAACCACCACGACGCAAGCCCCGGCGGCTCAGTTCGAAGGCAATGACTTGTCCTCAAGCTCCACGGTCCAATCTATCGACACGACGGAGCAGCTACCGCAACGAGGAACGAAGTTTGCACCGAGAACGCGACCGGCTTCGAACAGCCGGGGAGTAAAAACTAACATTTCCCAACCTCCACCGGCGACATCGAAGCAAATCGCAAAGCCAATTGTGAAGAATCTCATGGCTCTCCGAAAAGACTCGTCAATCAAACTCGAATGGAGTGTCGATCCTTCGAACTCTCAAGGCTTCCAAATTCTCTACAGAATATTCGGAGATCGGTTGTACCGCAAGGGACCCGCTCTGGGACCCGATCAACGCGGGTACCTTCTGCAAAACTTGCCGTCGGGCGATTGCATCGTCGTCTGCGTTATCACGATCCAAGAAGCAAACGATCTGACTGTGGACAATGTTCCGATGAATCAATGCCGGGAGCTCAAGAGCGAACGCTACGGCATCGCGAGCCTAGACAAAGTGATCATCATCGCATCGGCGATCCTCTCGGCAGTTATCATAATCGGAGTCTGCGCTATCCTATGCTGCATGCGACGAAAACACAAAAAGCAAGACAGCCTCATGAAACAGCGCATCTCCACCGGAGTCGTACCCGTTCTCAAGCCGGACATGAACGAGTGGGAAACGATGAGCGTGTATTCATCGAGGAGTATTCCGCGAGCGCGAATGTATCATCTCGACGGTCAGACGAACTCGAGCTATATCGACGATGCTCGCTCCCACGTATCGCACTCGTATATCCCGAACGGCTACGGCACCAAACCGCGAGGTCCCACGGCTGAACGTGCGTTCTCGCAGATGTCGCAGCACAACAGTCGTCTTTACAAATCGAATGGTAACCTGTCAACGATGGCGAACGACTTACGGAAATCGCAGCAATCACTTTCCGCCGTGTCCGCGGCCTATGTCAATTCACCGAAGAAACACAAGCGGAGCAACTCCCATGGTCGACTCACCAGCGCGAGCAGTACTCATTCGCTCACCGAGTACGACTCAGACTGGAACGGTCGATCGGAAAACAACTGGAAGGACAATGAGGTAGATATTTACGTGGGTCACAATCACAGGTACCGTTAGGGACGTTTCGAGCTGGTCAGCTGCTAAATTTAAGTTATGTTTATATGAGATGCGATGACATGCCGACGCAACCCATCTTGTAGATGCAAGCGTTTCTTGTTAGGCGGCCTTAGGTAGAAATGATGGAAATCTTCAAGAAGAAAATCACTGATCCGTAACGACGCCGACCCGACGGAATCGTCCCGTAGCAAGCTCTTTCAGGGTGCTACGGACATAGATTTGGGAATTCACTCATCCATTGAGGTGCATCTGGAGGGAGAACAAGAAGCTATGTACGATAAGGAATTACATTCAATTATCGCTGGATGCAATGTGCCATGGCCTAGAAATGTCATCCATCATCCACTGCTCATCGCGAATCAGAGATAGTAAGCATTAGGGGAATCGACTCAGTTCCGACAATAGCCTTGGGGTAACCCCGGGGGCGTTCATTATGATTGTGCTCACACAACCGACCTGGGAGTGTTATCTAGAAACTATGCGAAGAAGCTCAGTTTTTTAGTGTACTCATTCATGTATGTATATAGAGAAAAACGACCGTTCGCGTTCGTTACTGTGACATTGTAAATATAGAGAGAAGAAACAGGACATTCGAAGTAAAACATGAATAAAAGAAATTACGGACATTCCTTGACCGACCTCAACCTCTATTACGTTCGAAAGCAGTATGGCTCTGGCTCGAGGAACTGAACAAGCAGTCTCTGGGAGCTAGACGGAAGCGACCCCTCTACGACACATGGCACACAACGTCGACCTCATGCAAGATATGATCACCGGAGTGAATCGAGAAGAAAGCACGTTATTTGGATAGAATGATCGAAGGGATGTAGGCGGTGATGATCATAATCAATAATCACATTGGAGAATTTTATATGCGAGGCATCGACCACTGATCGTAGCATAAAGGGCGAGCCATTTTTATTTCAACAATTCAAACATGAATGAGCGAGAGCCTCCCTCCGAGTGGAGCCCCAATCGTCTCATACACGTCACAGGGCGTATTTGCTACGATGATGCGGCTGCATTACAGCGACAGGCACAACAGAATTCTCTTACAGATCTGGATCGAGCTCCAACACCGATTTGTAGATCACTTTGCGGCTCGGAAAAATCATCGAAACATCCAATACATGACAGCAACCTTCCTATAGAATTTTATAAGACGAGTTTGACAAGAGCATTGGGGCTGGTGAAGTCCGAGAAAGAAAGGCTTCAAAGGAGATAGTCTTCAATGAGAACCCACACGGCAGATATGACAATCGCCAGGAGGAATAAACCAAGGATTTTGAAGACTTTCAGAAGGCATCCCGCGGAGGAAGAAGCCTCGCCCAAATCTCGAGACTCCAGAGTTTTATGGCGTGGTCGGATCCTGTAAGTCCGCTTCGTTGATGGGTCTGCAAACTCGTCGCTCCTTCCGAGGTACATGACATCGGCGTGAATATCTTCTCCACAGCTCCCCCAAACTTCATCTCGATCCTTTCTACGCGAGGTAGGCGACACGTCTCCCTGTTCGGAAGGATACCAGAAGTGTGGGTGATATTGAGGGGATATCTGCCAATTGATTGCGGTATGGGATCCAGGCCCGGAATGGCAGAATACTAACCCGGCTCCTGTGACGCATTTCCTCCAGTGAACCGCTCGCGGACACCCTATAAATACAGTTCCTCCCTCTTGATGAACCTCGAACTGCTCGCTCGGACGTGTACCGATTTGCTCGCTGCCGCGGGACTCCTGCTTGTTCCGGAGCCTGTCAAGAACGGGATCGAAAAATGTATGGATTTGAAAACCTAATCATAATGAATGTTCTGCAATTCTCGGGAACATCGATTTCGCTAGCTCAGATCACCTTCCTCGATGGCTGCTGGTGACTGACCGAGAGTATACGAGTCGGAGAGCTCTGTAGGCGCTCGCCGCAAGCGTGTTCGGTGCACCCAACTTCGACTGGAATCTCGCCTGATGAATGGAAAAGGGCTTTCGAGGACGCTCGTGCATTCTTGCCCGAGTTTACAGGGTTCTGTCACTATCGAGAATCAAGACGAGACCGGGTCACTGCTCAATATCCCATGGCGACTCACAGATTTCAAAAATGGGCGGAAGATTCACCGGTTTTTCTCGAATGTCGGAGCCTGCGTCCGAATTCGGTCCCTGCGGACGATCACCGGTTGCTATGAGCTCTGGAGAACCGCTTTCAGCCTCTGTCGGAGTCTCGATCGACTCTAGAATTTCCTCCTTATTTTCCGAATCCCTCGGAACTCCACGCCCGGATTCGTCTACACACCAATAAAGGAGACACTCATGGATAATCGTAGGGAAATGATCGCAAGAACGAATCTGAAAAGTGGACCCGCGGTAAACTCGGTGCTGGGAACGAGGACTCACCCGCGAGTTTCTCTGTGGATGACGCTGGTATGATATCAGTCGACGGCCTCGGTGAGTTCGGGAACGTAAGGAAGTAAGTTTCGCTCCCGTATTGATTATCGATCACAGCAACTGGAAGAACGAAGCTCAAGACTGAATTCCCGACTCATCAAAAAATCTCCTCTCGAGAATACGAGGCGAGCATAACACTAACGCATCTTGGGCGGCAGAGCTCTTCAGGATGTGTTCGGCGGCGATTTCTCGAATGTGACTGATAAGATTCCGATTGATGCTATATCTGCTCGCTTGGAATGTGCTTTTGTCTAGCATTGCACATCGTCTCTTGAGGAATTCACGAAGAGAAATGTGGATCCAATAATTCATGCTTCCATGGTCCGGGTGGGACGAAGTGTCTCTTCCTGCCGGCTCGGCGGCATCAAAAATCAAACTCGAAGATATCGACTGAAGCATCGGCAACCTGACACTTCGAGAAGAGTCACCAACAGATCCTAAAGTCCGGTTTCATTCTTCCTACCACCGAAGGGAGAGTCGCCTATATGAAATGCTGTCCCCCGTCTCAGGTCACAGGAGCTCTGCACATCACCCATCCAAAAATCGACTCGAGATTTTCCCATGAGGAAACTTCCTTCAGAAAGATACACTATCTCTTTTGAGGCGCTGGGAAATATTCTCGCAATCAGTCCCCTCTTTGTCCATCTTACGACTTTTCGATGTGCCGCATTCGGGGACTTTCGAATGCCACTGACAAAACGGTGTGAACTACTTCCATCAAACGCGGAGATCGATCAATCTCAATTCCTGGCCCCCGAACCTCGGTCGCTCGGGCTAGCCAATGCTCCATGTGCTCCTTGACTGATTGAGAAGCTAATTAATCGAGGCTGACCTTGCCTCAATCCCGTCAGTGGCGGTCCATCATCCAAGGAACATGCAGTTTGTTCCTATGATCTCAACTGCGGTCTCCGTATTCGAATAAACTCTCTCTGACCGTGCCAATCAGTATTTCGAAAAATTCCGAACGCATATCAGCTTCGACCCCTGTGCTCATGTGCTTCCATACCTCGAATATCGAGCTGTACGATAGTATCTTCGATGAGCCATACAGCCGAGATTGCATCCCGGATGGCGACGCGGTGGGAAGGGGTAATAATCCGACTTGCTTCTCGCTCTTGAGAGCAATGAATTTCTCCAGAGAAAAAAGTCTGGAAGCGCTTTTCGAAATTGATTCGCCGAGCTTTATCATTGCAAGACGTCCAATTCGAATCTGCGCGGAGCCGCACGGCAGCGGCGGGAACGAGGTGAAAGAAAAACAATGAATCGTCCGGAAATCGTCAGCAGACCTCTACCCTTGAAGAACGTATGTTATTTTGATGAGAGAACCTCCGCACTGCACTCGAAAGGCATCCCCTGAAAGAGCCATCCTCTCTTTCACGAACCCTCCAACAAAATCCCTCGCATTCTCATGATGAAGGGAGTTCAGCTAACTGTGAGTAGCGCTCCTTACCCTTCTATATTTCTTCATATACACGAGGAATCGGATTAAACACTAGCTCGCGAATGTCTGCGAGCATCAATCGCTGCAATCTTCATTGAAGTTTTCGCGACCTCGCGAGGAAACTATGAGATCCTTGCCATTTTACTCTTTTGGGATCTGCTCACTAAACTGAGAATCCCCGATGCAACCGCGGAGTCGTTTGATCGAGACAAATGAGGGGCGGGCCGCCAGCCAGCAGGGAGTAGAATCGAAGTTGGGAGGGCAGCCATCAAGCTCAATTTTATTTCCATTCGAAGACCTTCACGGAAATTCAGTCGTCTTGGGAGAATCGCGGTCGGCCCGTGAGTCAGCGAGAGTCTCTAATTTGGTCAGCTCTCTGCCCAGGATGACATTCCTTTCGAGCGACTTTCCTTTCCTATTGCATCACCGATGCATCTCCATGGACACTAAGTCAGCTTTAAGCCGATCGGGGAGATCCGACTCCTGACGGCGATCTGGGACCGCGGGATATGTACAGTACACGGGACGCTCGAATCAGAAGTATCAGAAGCATTCAGTCGAATCAGAGCCCGGATTCGGTTGAACTTACTCTCCTAGAATTAGCCCGCGTACGTCGTGGACGTTGAATGCAGCTCGGGCCCGATTTCACTGTGTCATCTGAGTCGTCAGACGCATCACAAGCGGAACCTATGGGCTGGAAATCTTGCAGAAAACGCCGGCCTCAGTGATGGCCCACCGACAGCTCCCAGCACCGATATGAGCTCTAGGCGGGAGCGAGCTGAGAGCATTCTGTTTGGCTAGACTTGCTTGTCTCGTGACGAGTTTAGGAGAGTCGAGGCCCGAAGATCCCGCGATCAGAGTAGAGTTCACCGCTGCTCCTCGAACGTGGGATGGAGATGAGCATCCACAGGATAACTACGAACCGGCCCCCTCATTTCAGACATTCTCAGCTGACTTCGAAGATCCGCCGGATGAGGAAGGGATGAAGTGGTCCCATCGGAGGAGCGATTACCTTGTAGCGGAGAAAGTGAATTCCTCTCGAAAATTAATCGTCATCAAGTATCCTCTCAGAGGTCGACTGAAGTACCAAATCAGTGCCATAGCGAGAAAACTGAGGGAGGGGGTCAGAAGACATCGGAGGAACGTGGAAAACTCACTCAAAGTCCAGGCAACCTTAGTCTTGGGACCGATCTATGAACAGCAGAAGATTTCCTACGACGCAGTTCGAGCAATCGAGGAGCGCATCCGTCAAAATCAGACGCACCAGTTAACGCCCCAAGAAGAATACTCATGGAAACGGTGGTATGAATCTGATAGGCTCTTCAGAGCGCTCGTACACGCCAAAATGCACGCACATTGTTCAGTGGAAGCCTACGGTCGCGCCCATCTCGAAATCCAAGAATGCTACGGAAAAGTCATTAAGTACAAGACCGAGATTGAACGCACGGCCTCGGAGCGAATATCGAAATATCGGAGACGCAAGAAGCTATCAGCGATTCTCTTAGAGCTTTCGTGTGTCCCTATAGAGCTGAACACCCACCTAGATCTTTGTGTCAGTACTTCTCGTAAGCTCTCCGTGAGTCTTCGGAAATATGAAGTTCTCAAGAAGGCTTTCTTCCACGACTTTCATGAACGCGCTTGAAGATTAGTCAATTTTAAATCTACGTCCTTCACAACTCTCAGCTCCTTTAACGTATCAAGGAGGGGAGTGATCAGTTTTTTTCTATATATTTCTACATGTACATGACCCGTCAGGCATACCATCGGTCGAGTAGGGGATTCACAGACCAGGCCCTCCTCGTCCCGACGATACTTTAAACTCATAAAATTAGTTCGTCGGCGTGAGTCTTCTCTTTTGCTGGATCCAGTTATTCATGATAGACCCAAAAATCATATCCGAGATCAGCGTCTACCCCTCGTTCACATACTCGCTGTGACATTCACCTCGATCTGCTCCTGTCTGATGACGCCCGATTCTCTGACTGGAATTTCACTTGCGGGTGACCGAGAGCGCTAAGACGGTTGGAGTCTCCATGCCCTGTCGTCATGGGCTTTCAGTCCGGAATCGTCACATGGCAACATTCAATCTATTGGAAGAGTGATTTTCGAAGCAAAATCGCTCCCGTTCCACATCGGTGAAGTACTCGAGCTCAAGCTAGATGCAGAGTTTCCGAACATGGTTGATCCGTTCCAGCTCAAAGAAATAGCGGAGACGAGCACAAGACCCGCCGACTAAGGATTCGTCTCGTTACTTGCGAGCTCTCCTATTCCAACGTCCCGACTGCTGTCCAGCGACTTTCCTCATTGACCTCTTCCGCTTCTCCATTATGCCTCGTCAAGTTTCACTCGTTCCTCCGCGGTTTCCCGCGGCAGTCGCACGTCGCGCCCTGTATGATCCCGCTCTTTAATTCGGATTCGCTAGCATCTATCAGTGTAGTTCTTCAAGTTCTCGACGGTCAGGCCTGCCCGCTGCTCTTCGATTCTTGGAGCGCCGATTCCACCGCTCTCGCTTCTGCAGGTGCATCTGAGTGAGCATCATGGGGGGGGGGGGTAGACCGCATAGCTCTTCCGCTCTTGGAATATGGGATCGAGTGAGGAGACCGCCCGGAATTTCACAGCCGAAATCGAGCATCGAGGGGCGAGGGGTTCATTCTACTCCGATTACGTCATCCGAACATCATCGCCAGAAGATGAGAATGAAAAGCTCTGATCGAGAAAGGGCATCAGAAACGCTCTCCCTCCTTGTCTTAGGATCTGATCGTCTACCGATCATTAAAGACTGGGATGGATTTCTGCCATATGCCCGCTCCCCCGACACAGAGCCTCAGATCAGCCCTTGCCGATTCCACGGCGGTTCTCTTACGCGGACTCGAAGAAAATGATTACCTACTTGTGACTGAAGGCATCTATGAGCATCAGAGCTCGCACCTCGAGGTTTCGGGATCTCCGGAGCTGGATTTCCAGGGATGGCTCCACGCACATCCCCGAACTTGTTCGGTCCGCGATGTTTCCGTAGCGAAAAATCAATTTTTCGCGGCATACCTCCTCTCCAGAGTGGTGAGTCTATGGAGACAAGGGACTCGGTGCCAACTCGCGACTTCCGTATTCAGAATCTCAATTCATTAATGGAAGAAGTTGACCTCGATATGCGCCATGATTTGGAACATCTGGTCTGGATGGAATTCGCCCTCGCCATCTCAGGGATTTGATCAAGAAAGACTGTAGCTCTTGTCCCCTCGTCGAGGCCCTGGCGAGGTTCTGCACAATGGTGATCAATGGCAGGCTGCCTGATTTCGTTCTGGATACTTTTTACGGGGCGAACCTCTTGGCGTTGCGCAAGAAGGACGGGGGAATCAGACCAATTGCTGTCGGCAACACTCTCAGGCGCCTGGCGGCGGAGATCGCCATCCGTAAAAACAGAGACCCCATTCGGGATCTTGTCATGCCTGTTCAGCTCGGGTTCGGTGTGGAGGGAGGTTGCGAGGCGGCCGTTCATACAGCCTCGAGTTTCATTGAAGTTAACAGAGGCTTCGGTAAGATCCTAGTCAAACTCGACTTTGCCAATGCCTTCAACTCTCTTCGTAGAGACTTGATTCTCGATGCAGTTCAAGCCAACTTTCCCGCTCTGTACCCCATGATCTATCAGGCGTACAGATCTCCCTCGAAGCTCTTCTGGGAAAACAGGGTTATGCTCTCGAGATGTGGAGTCCAGCAAGGTGATCCTTGTGGCCCTGCCATCTTTTGCATTGCTCTTCATCAACTTTCGTCGTCACTCCAATCGGAGTTCAAGCCTTGGTTCCTGGATGATGGTACGCTCGGCGGTCACTCTGCTTCAGTCCTCGGCGACATCCAGAGAGTGAAAGACTTCGCCCTCGTGTCAGGCCTCGTTCTCAACGACGCGAAATGCGAGCTTCTCGTGATGTCAGACCTTCCGGAGGTTCGCACGGAGCATTTTCATGCCGCTCGGCTTCATCTCGCAAATATCAGGCTCCTGGCTGATAGCGAGCTCGAACTCTTGGGCGCTCCTCTGAATGACCTCTCGTTGGATGGAAGTCTCCAGAAAAGATGGCGCTCGTTGATTTATGGTGCTCAAGACTCCCTGCTCTGGACGCTCATCCTGCCCTCTTCCTCATCCGCTGTAGCCTCTCTGCTCCTCGTCTCATCTACGTCCTCCGCTCGTTCGGACGCCGATCGGTTTCGCGACCACCTTCGGAGCCTCGACGAAAAACTTAGACGGTGTCTGTGTTCGATACTCAATCTCGACCTGTCAGGTGACTCCCGGAAGCAGGCTTCTCTTCCTATATCGGCCGGAGGACTCGGTATCCGGTCCCTCTGTGACCTCGCGGTGGGCGCTCATTTGGGATCCCTGTGTCAGTTCAGGTCGCTCGCTGCCAGCTTATGTCCGGCGTCACTGCGGCTCATCTTGACGCTCGAATCGCCGGTCTATCTCGCTAGGTTTGAGGGTTACTGGAGGAGCATTCCAGAGGAGATCTCCCAGGCTTCCTGCTCCGACGTAGTCACATCGGCGAGACGCAGCGAGCTCGTTCAGAGCTCCTCGGGGGACCTTAACAGAGCGAGACTCAACGCGGCGCTCCACCCGAGTAGCGGGAGATGGCTTCAAGCTATACCCTCTCCGTCGATTGGCACGATGCTGGACAACAACACACTCCGCATCGCTGTCGGTCTTCGATTAGGGATAGCAATCTGCTCTCCCCATCTTTGCGCACGCTGCTGCGCTCAGGTCTCAGCTTCTGGCGAACACGGGTTGAGCTGCCTCCGGAGTGTGGGCCGTCATCCTAGACATAGAGCTATTAATAAGCTCTTGTCTTGCGCCCTTCTATCCGCGAGGATAGCCAACATATTGGAGCCCACCGGTCTTTCGAGCTGCTCAGGCCTCCGCCCGGATGGCCAAACACTCTCGCCTTGGAGGGCGAGGTAAGGCTCTCGTCTGGGATGCCACGGTGTGGGACACTCTCGCTCCCTCTCATAGGCCCCTTGCGGTCCGCTCGGGAGGTGCGATTGCAAGGCTCGCGGAGAGGAAAAAGCTGGACAAGTATCAGGTTCTTGAGAGCCGCTTCATTGTGCAACCAGTTGCGATTGAGACTCTCGGAGTTTTCGGTGAGGGCACAGAGGCCTTCCTCCGAGATCTGGGTGCTCGTATCGAGTCCGAGTCGGGCGATAAGAGGGCCACGGAGTTCCTCCTTCAGCGCTTGTCGATAGAGGTTCAGAGAGGGAACGCCGCTGCTGTTCACGGCTCAATGCCTTCGGGTGACGGGTTGCCCGGAGTAGGGTGATCATACCTTATTTACTACGTTAGAAAGATCAAGAATAAAAATAACAGTTTTCTATCTGGTCCATATGTTACTCTCATCGAATTCTGGAGCTCAGCAAGAATCTCTAAATGCTTTCGGAATCCTCGAGGATCGGTCTCACGCATGAAGTACGCCTTATATGGAAAACTTTCCATATGGTTACCCTCGCACAAAAAAACTTCTGGTATGAGATACCTCGCGAATCGTGACTCTCGTTCATAGAGAAGCTCGCACCCGCTGAAGTCGCGATGAGCGAACCTCGGGATGCGATAATTATCAAAAGAAGACGGAGCCGAGAGTCCTCAAACGCGAGGGCCTCCGTGCCTTGAAATACCCATAACTATAGATGGTAGCTGATTAGCCTAAGACGGTTTCTCAACTCGCATCGTGATCAGGGTTCCTTACTCCAGAATTGGAAGAATCAACCGGATAGTGATGCTCTGAGTTTCTTCTGGAACAAGTTAAGCGAAGGAAGTTAGCTTCTCCTTCCATCTGTGAGGGCCGATGCAAGATGTTGATAAATGAAGTACAGTAGAATTTCTTCGATTCGCAAACTCCATCATCCTTGAACATTCGTAATTAGCCGACCCACGGCGACCTCCCCCCCTCCAGATTCGGGCTTCGGAAAATTCGCTCGTACACTCCATCCTATTATCTCATTTCTATGGGAACTCCTTGGGAAGTTGATGAGTCGTGAGTTGTCGTGAGATGAGACGTGAGATGCCCTTTGTCTACTCCCCTGAGAATCCAGAGAAGCGCAGCCCTTCACCTCCCGAGCTGATATCCCCTGCTCCGAAGAGATGTGTCGACATGTGTGCTCTTACACGGCACGTGCGCTCTGCACCTGCTGGCGTGCACGTGCTTCGTCCAGAGACTTCCAACGCCGACTATGCGTAGTGTCTGCGGAGGACAATTATCGGGGATTGGAATGAAACAGATTGCCAAGGAATGAGACGGGGAGCGATCCGGGAGCAGCACGGAAATAGTGGCGTCGGGGTCTGCAATGATGAGCAATGAAGATGAAGAGGAGTCGAGTTAGAGATAGCCAGCACCTCTGCGGTGAAAAGAAGTTCGAAAGAAACGAAGATCGGCTCAAAGTCGGACGCAGACGCTTTCGTCGAGGTTGCGATGGAGTCCGAGGAGCAACTTCGTCGGAACTTTTTCAAGATATTCTCACAGAGGCGAACACGTGAGGACTCGAGTAGAGCGAGACCTCAGCTGCTTATCATATATCATAAGAACATTCTGCGACGCCGGCGCGGCGTTTCGTGATGCTGGGAAGTACGAATCTTGAGGAATTGACATCGTCAGCAGAACTCGATGCGAATAGGGCTGCTCGTCTCGATTCTCGACTGCGATAGAGACCGAGGAGCACATTCTGCCTGTGCCAAGAAGAGTGAGGGAACCAGGTTGTTCCGCGAGGCTGAGAATTTCGTACGAGTCCAACGATCTGGAATGGCTGGCTTGTGGTCATCCGCATCACGAGTACCGAGACGCTTTGAGCCTCGAGAGCATCGAGCAATCCTG